AAACAAACACACACACACACACAATAGCAAAAGTAAAAAAGAACAGTATTTAGAACCCAAGATCTGGGTACTAGGTATGATCATTACTGTTGGAGTTTCATTATCTCTACATATTCTATGGGACAGACGAAGGGGAGCTATCTAACAATGTATATACCCTCCTACATGTGTGTACATGTATGCACAAATATTTCTACATTGAATACATAAAAGATACACATTTTTGTGTGTATGCCAGGACTGGGGATTGAGCTCAGAGCCTCTCACCCCTACTCAGCTTTCTTGCTCATGGCTGGTGCTCTACCACTTGAACACCTCCAGTCCAGCATTTTACTGGTTAATTAGACATGGGATCTCAAAAGACTTTTCTGCCTGGGCTGGCTTTGAACTATCATCCTCCAGGTTTCAGTTTCCTGAGAAACTAGGATTACAGGTGTGAGCCACTGGTGCCAGCTAGATACATATTTGTATCCATCCTTACATTTATGTGTGTCTTTATTTTTATTTTTTTGGGGGTCACGTGGCTTGACCTTGGCTTGGGCGCTGTCCCTGCACTCTTCAGCTCAAGGTGAGTGCTCTACTGCTTGAGCCACAGCGCCACTTCTGGTTTTCTAGTTGTTTATTGGAGATAAGAGTATCACGGACTTTCCTGCCTGGGCTGGCTTTGAACAGTGATCCTCAGATCTCAGCCACCTGAGTAACCAGGATTACAGGTGTGAGCCACCGACACCCGGCTTTTATGTGTGTCTTTAGGTACAGTGTGGAAGAGTTTACTGGAATGAAAGGCCAGGCCGGAGGAGGTGTCTGCTGGGGAGGGGGCTGAACCAGCAGCTAGAAGTGAAAAGGAAATCCAGTGAGAAGGTAAAAATGAGCCTGGTGCTGATGGCTCACCCCTGTAAGCCAAGCTCCTCAGGAGGCTGAGATCTGAGGATCATGGTTCAAAGCCAGCCCAGGCAGGAAAGTCCGTGAGACTCTTATCTGCAATAAACCACCAGGAAACTGAAAGTGGCACTGTGGCTCAAGTGGCAGAGCACTAGCCTTGAGCTGAAGAGCTCAGGGACAGCTCCCAGGCCCTGAGTTCAAGCCCCACGACCAACAAAAACAAAAAGGACTGGGGGGCTAATGCCTTCACAACCTAGGGCCATCTGGGAACTTCTGAAGAAAAGGAAGATAGTAATCTCCCCACTGGGACTCTCAACTGGGAGAATTTGAACCAAAGCCTGCTGGTCATTATCTTCCAGAGCTGTGTGGAGTTTGTTTAAAGGAGGGAAAGGTGCCAAGGGAGTGGGAAGCAGATGTGGAGGATGGAGGCTGGCGCGGGAGGGAGGTGAGCCCCCCCTCTGGAGTGGCATACAGATGCAACCCTGGGTTTGCCTATTCCTCATCCCCAACCCTGACTTCCCAGTTATGTAAACTGGAAAACAACCACAACCTTGTGTGTCATCTAGTGTTGTCTGGGTGTTGTCATCTGCAGTGGAGAGACCAGACTAATCGAATCTCACAGTGCTCCCTGCAAGGAAGGTGGCCCTGTCACCATTTGTTACCCATGAAGACCCTGCTTTGACGGTGGTCCAAGACGTAGCTTGCTGCTCGGTAGGTTTATACGGAAGGGACAGCAAGATGACAGTGGGCCTCTCCTGGTAGGTTCATGCAGAAGGAACAGTAAGAAGACTGAGGTCCTGAGTCATTCGTGGTGACCTCACAAGCAGGGTGGTATGTGAGCTAGGCCTGTAGGCCAAGGAGAAGGAAGGCAAAGGTAGCTGGGATGGCTTGAGGAAAGGCTGGGGAGAGGACACAGGTCCACTGAGCGGAGGACAGGAAGTGTGTTCCACTGGTAGAGGATGCCAGAGGGACGCGTGGCCAGCTGTAGGTTGGAAGGGTTCTGAGTGCTCACTGTGCTACACATGTCTGTTCTTTGAGACCCATGGAGAATTTACCTGAGATTCCTGTCATTGAATGGAGTGGTATGCCACTGACGACCAATGTCCACTGCCAAAGTGCCACCCTCTGGCCCTGTTCCTTAGAGGAGGATTCCTCAGTCAGCCAGAGTCCCTGAGTATCTAATGGGCACCGTCCCCTGCTTTCACCTCTCTGCAGATCTTCAAGACTCCTGACATGACAAGGAAAGAAACAACGCGAGGGGTGGAAATCTATTTAGTATGTTTAATTTCACTTGCACTTTGCTCTGTTTCCTTTTATTGTGGTGAACTGCATATAATACAACACAACACAAAACCTACTATTTAACCTTTTTTTTTTTTTTTGGCTGGTCCTGGGGCTTGAACTCAGGGCCTGGGCACTGTCCCTGAGCCTCTTTTGCTCAAGGCTGACACTCTAACCACAAGAGCCACAGCGAAACTTCTGACTTTTTCTGTTTATGTGGTACTGAGGAATCAAACCTAGGGCTTCATGCATGCTAGGCAAACACTCTACCACTAAGCCACATTCCCACTCTGTTTTAACCATTTTAAGCATACAATTTAGTGTCATTGGTGCATTCATATCCAGACACCATCTCCATCATCTCCAGAACTTTTTAAAAAAATCTTTCCATACCGAAACTCTGTGTCCAGTGAACATTCACTTCCCTGTGCCCCTCCCCCTCCAGTGCCTGGAAAGTCCATTCTGCTTTGTCTCTGTGGCTTCAATTATTCTAGATCAGTCCTCATGTAAGTAAAATCAGGAAGTATTTGTCCCTTGCGACTGGCTTATTTCACTTAGCATAATAACTTCAAGGTCCATTCATATGGTAGCATGTGTCAGAATTTCCTTCCTTTTCAAGGCTGAGTAGTATTTCGTTGTAAATACTGTATTTTGTTTAACCATTGGTGAACATTCAGGTTGTTTCTACCTTTGGACCATTGTGGATACTGCTGCTATGAACCTTAGTATACAAATATCTGTTAGAGTCTCTGCTTTCAATCCTTTTGGATATATACATCCCCAGCAGCAGAATTGCTGGGTCATGTAATTCTGTTTTAAGTTTTTGTAGTTGTTTTTTTGTCCATGGTAGGGCATGGAATCAGGGCCTAGAATCAGGGCCTGGGCTCTGTCTCTGAGCTTTTCTGCTCAAGGCTAGCACTCTACCACTTTGAGCCACAGCACCACTTCTGGTTTTTCTGGTAATAATTGGAGATAAGAGTCTTAGGAACTTTCCTGCCCAGGCTGGCTTCAAACTGTGATCCTCAGATCTCAACCTCCTGAGTAACTAGGATTACAGGCATGAGCTACCAGTGCCCGGCCTCTATTTAAAGTTTTTGGAGGACCATTATACAGTTTTCCAAGAAAATGGTTCTAATTCATTGAGATTTGAAGTTAATTCCACAAGCTAATCTAGTCTGTTTAGGCTGATATTGTCCCTTAGGTTAGATCAGCCAGGAGTCCAGTGAGGCCATAGTGATGTATAGCTGAGCCCAAAGGCTCCAGTCTGAAATGATTCTGGTGTGGAGGGCAGTGGGGAAAATAGCCAGCACTGCGGCCCCTCCACCTGGGGCCAAAGACATCAGAACCTGGGTCTGAACCTGTGCAGTAGCTACGTGATTGCTTCTCACTGGACATAAATCCCTTGACATGGGCCTTCTGAGCCTGAAAACACAGGGTCAGACTTCTAAGGCTCCCACTGATGTCAATCTAAGTAGCCTTACTGAATAGAAGCTTACATTTGCCCTTCTTCGCCCTGAGCATTTCAGGTTAAGAGTAACTAAGGGTTTAGCATACTGACTTGAGAGTCAGCTGAACCTGACTTTGAAACCCTTGTCTTTGCACTTACAACCTGTGTGGTTTGGTTAGTGGGTATTTTGCTTAATTACTTTATGGTGCCGGGAATTGAACATGAGGCTTCTCAATTACTAGGTAAGGGCTCTACCATCCTGTAAGCTCCCAGCCCAAGTCTTGGGTCTCAATGGAGAATGAACACATTCCAACCCACCAGAAGAGGGGATGGTGCCATCTCTGGTGGCTGGCACACAGTAGACAGTGAGTGTCTGCTCCTCTTTGAGGGCAGTGTCCTATGGGCCATCGACAAAGGCAGAGGCATCTTATGTCCAAACCAAGCTGGGAGCACCATTTAGAGGGGTTGCGGATGTCCTTTTGGGTGCAGAGCAACGGCACAGGCGGCCTGCGGCTCACATATCCATTGCCCCAGTCCACTGAAGGCCTCCTCGGTCCCCACAGAGACTGAGTCTGTGGAAGTGGCCAGGGGCTGGCATCGGCAGCCACTTCAATGAAGGTGACGTTGAAAACGTCCTGGATAATTAATTGCCTGGGGAGTGTGCCTTGGGATAGGAAGACGTAGGAATGGGTTGTGACAGGCTTCCTGAAGGTAACCCCGTTTTCTTATACAAAAGAGCAGCTCTGCCACCCAGGAATTAGGGGATTCCTGGAATCCTCAAAGGGATGAAGATGGGGGGGAGATATGGGGACAATTAGGATGAGCTTCAACTGTGAGGGCTTCAGTGCCCATCTCCAGTGCCCCCCACAGGTGGGTTAGTGGGAGACGGGGTGGGGTGGGGGGTCCCAAGCTCTGGAACAGCGCTGAAGGGCTGCCTGGAACAGGGATACAGCCGCGGGAGAAAGGAGCCAAGCGAGGAGGCTGGGAGTCCTAGGGAACAGAGGTGGGCAGAGGATGGTCGTGCTGGTGGCATTAGCCAGAGATGCCCCCAGCTGAAAACCCGGAGCCCCGAAGGCTATCTATGAAGCAGGCATTGAGTACACCCCCGCCCCCACTGCGAAGGGGTGCTGAGAGCAGGTGCGCCCTGCTGGAAGAGACCCTCAATGTCATTTGCTCAACCTCCTACCCCGGGAGATCTTTCCATTGCCTCCCCCCCCCCCCCAGTCCCAGGTATGGGGAGCTCATCCTCCGGGGCGGCCTAGAGGGCCCTGGCGCTCCGACCTTGGCCCTGTTGCGCGCGGCGCCGAACGCCGCTCGGCGACGGCACCTGGCGGGGGCTGCGGCGCGGCGGGGCTGGCGCTGCTGCTGTCCCCGGCCCCAGTGCTGAGGAGGCAGAGTGCAGTGGGCTCTGGTGGAGGCCGGGAGAACTGCAGGGCGAAGGCCGCCGGGGGCTCCGCGGGCTGCGGGGGGGAGGCACTTGACACCGGCCCGAGGAGAGGAGGGGCCGCTGTCCCTGCGGCCAGTGCTGGATGCGGGGACCCAGCGCAGAAGCAGCGCCAGGTAGCGGGGCGCCCCGCGGGGAGGCTGCAGCAAGGCCCCCCGGGCTGGGCTTGGAGCCCAGGGGCCCCGAGTGGTCGGCGAGTGTGCCCACGGGGGCGGGGGGGATGTCCGAGCCCCGCGGCACGGGCGGGGGGGCGCTGCGGGCTCCGGCCCTCCGTCTTGCAGCTTTGCGGGGACCTCCGCAGAGGCCTCGGGAAGTCGGGCCGAGGGCGCTAGGACCGGCCGCGCGCCCAGGCCGCCCTCGCCGCGTCGCCCCGGGGGCCCCCAGGCCGGAGCTGCCTCCCGGGCCGGCTCCGCAGCGCCGGGGCCCGGGCCAGCGCGGCCGCGGGGGGCGAGCGGCGGGCGGAGGCCTGCGCCCGCGGGCGGCCGGAGGGAGGGAAGGAGGAAGGCGGAGAGAAGGGGTGGGAGGGGGGGACCCGGCGGAGGAGGCGGAGAGAGGGAGCGCGACAGCGAGCGGAGGGAGGGAGCGAGCGAGCGAGGCAGCAGGCGGGCCGGGAGGGAGGAGGGCGCGCGGGCGGCGGCGGCGGCGGCGGCGGCGAGAGCAGAGGACGAGCCGGGACGCCGCGCCGCGACACCGGGGCGCGCAGCCGGGCCGGCCCGACCCGACCGGCCACACGGTAATGAGCGCCGCTGCCGGCGGCCCGGGAGGCCCGGCCCGAGGCCGGCGGGCGGGAAGGAGGGAGGCCGGGCGAGGGGCACCGCGGCGGGCAGTGCCCGGCTCGGGGGTACGCTCCTGCACCCCTGCAACTCGGCGCCCGGCGCCCTCGGGGGACGGGGGGAGCCGGGGCTGCGGGCGAGGACGGCGGGTCGGGCTGGCTGGGGTGGTGCGAGGGACTGGAGGGTTTGTTTATGTCCCCGCGGGCTCGGCAGGCGCCCCCTCCCGTCCCGCCCGCTCCCGGCCCGGACCCCTCTCCCCGCCCCCGCCCGTCTCCGGGCTCAAGTTCAAGTCTATACAATGCCACGGGGGGCCCCCTCCACCGCCGGCCTCCGCCGCGGTGCCCGGCTCGGCGGGGCCGCAGGGGCCCCGGCCCGGCCGCCTCCGCCTTCCGGGCTCTGCCTCCGCCCCGGGGCCCGGCCTAAGGCCTGCAGCCGGGGTGCTGGAGGGCGCGGACCCCCGACCCGGAATCATCGGCCCCCGCCGTGGCCCTCGGGGCGCGGGGGAGGGGGCGGGGGCCGGGCCCCGCGCAGGCTCCGCCGCGGCGGCAGAAAATGGCAGCCTGGCACGACCCGGCCCCCCGCCCCTCCCCCGGCTCCTGGCCCTCCTCGGCCCGGTGGGGCGGGGGACCCAGGAGGCCCCCAGGGGCGGGCCGAGGGGTGATCCGGGGGGCCAGGCTGGGGAACGCAGCGCAGCGATCCTCCTCTGGCCACCTGTGGCTGGGGGTGCTGGGCGCCAGCGGAGCTGGGAGGGGCGGCAGGGGTGGGGAGGGTGCCCACTCGGGGAGCACCCCTTCCTCTCGGGGCTGGGCGGGGGGGGGGGGGCGTCGCGGCTGGCTCCTCCCTGCCCCCGCTGCGGGCCGTGGGAGCGGGGCGGCGGTGGCGGCGGCGCCGCAGTGTGGGGGCGGGGCGGGGGCGAGCGAGGATCCCGAGCTCGGGCCGTTGGGGGCCGGGAAACGCGGGGGTGGAAGCCTCAAGACGGGGAACGCGGGGTGGGGACGCGGGGGTCGTCCCCTGCAGCAGCCCCCCCACACGCACACTCACGCACGCGGACACACTCACGCACACGCACCCCCGCCGGGCCGGTGCAGACGTGTCCTTGAGAGCTTCGCATCTGCACCGTGAAGGACGAGGCCTCGTCGAAGCTGCGGACCGGGGTCTCGCGCCCCCTGGCCCCGTGCCCCCTCCCCGGAAGACCCCGAGCTCCAGAGCCACAGGCAGCCACGATCCGTGTCCCGCCCTCGCCCGGGCTTCCCTCCCCGTGCCGCCCTGACCTCCCTCCCCATCGGCGGCTCGGCCGAGCTGGCGCGGGGCCCGGGCCCGCCCCTGGCCTCCCCCAGCCCCTCTTCGCTGCGGCTCGCTGCCAAAGTGCATTTCGCTTTCCTGGAGCCGGCCTTCTTGGGGGCATCCTCTCCCCGCCCTCCCCTCGGCCGTGTTCTCCTTCCCTCCATCCCCTCAGTTCTTCCTCCCCTCTCTCTGGTGCGAGACCAGCTGGGTAGGTGTCGGCGCCCAAGGTGGGAGTGGGGTGCCACTCCCCATCTCCCAGGCCTCCCAAGGGGAGCCCCTTGTCGCTGCACCTTGACCCAAGATGGCGTCCTGCACCCAGCTGGGCAGCTCTGGCCTGCATCCACTGGAGCATGTAGCCACAGCTGCTGCCTCTGAAACCAGCAGGGCCAGGGGCCTTCTGGAGGAGCACCCTCTACCCTGTGACCCAGCTTGCCCCTCGCTGCCCAGTCCAGAGACTGCCATCAGCATCCCTGGGGACAGTTCAGTCTTCATGTTTCACTCTGGGCTGCCAGCGGCTGAACCTCCTGAGCGGGCGGGCAGGAGGCGAGGTTGGGCGGCTGTGCAGGGATCCTGGGATCAGGTGCTGCTCGCCTGTGCCTCTTCCCTCCTGGGCAGATGTGACAGCTGCAGCCTGGGGAGCTATTCTCCAGCGATGAAGGGTATTAGGACTGACCTGTGGGATTTAGGGAGCCCAGCTGGCAGGCCAACCCTCCTTGGCCTATCCCCTGTACTGGCAGGGGCCATTTCCTGGTAGTTTGCTGAGCCTCTTGCCTTTGGAGAGTTGGGTCGTGAGGGTTTCTGCCAGTTTCTGGGACAAGAAGTCTGGCACCCTCTGCCTTTAGGTTTCATTGAGGTCCTGGTGAAGCTGTTGACAAGGCAAAGTGTGTGTGTGCGCGTATGTGTGTGTGTGTGTGTTTATGTGCTTATGTGCTGTGGCCATGTGTGGGCCCCAGGCCAACCTGTGTAGGGAGTCTTGGACCTGTTTGCCTCCCCTCCTGGGGCTTGCTTATCTGGCCTTGGTGTATTCTGTCCATCATTCCCTGATCAGAGTCCTTTCCTGCTGGTCCTACTGCTCTTTGGTGATTGCTTGGCTTCACTTAAGGGCCTTAAGAAATCCACTGATCCAGGCTTTCCTTGTTACCCCATCCCATGCCCAGCGGGAGCCTGCCCCTAGGAAAGGTGAATCCCTCAAGACTCCAGGAATGAGCATCCATAGTTAAAGGGCTGCCCTCCAGCACTGGAGGAGCTGAGGAGACGCCCGCCCGGTGGCCAGTGGCCATCTGTCAGGGTGTCTGCGGACAGGATTCCTCTGTGGGGTGGGGGTTGGACAGAGCTTAGAGGCCCATTCCAACTTTGAAATTCTATGGCTCTGATTCTTGGGGTGGAATTTTAGACCCAGAATAGGGGTGAAGGGGCAGTGTCCTGTTTTTGTTCCTTGGTGTTGATGGGGAAGGCTTGGTGGGAGAGTAGGGGGCTGAGCCTTGGGCTGCAGGGGAGCTGTGGGGGAGGGGACACTAGGAGAGGGTTGTGGTGTCCGACTCTGCAGAGGGTGTCAAAGTTCAGCTTCCATTAAGCCTTCCCATGTGTGTCCTGAGAGTTTATGTGGAAATCCATGTGTGGGGAGGTAATTTCTGACATTTCCTTCCTGAATCCAATTTTCAGTAAGCCCTCAGTCCCTGGTGGAGATTTCACTATCATAGTCACATCCCCGTCTGCCATTGGTCCCCTCAAAAAGCCAGCCAGGAAGACAGGAGGAGCCATGAGGTCCATGTCCAGCGCCTGAGGGCAGGACGATGTGGAGTAGGCCTGCACTCGGGCTCTTCTGGGCTCCTTCAAGGGTCAGTTCCTTATCAGTTTGAAAATCCCTGTTGCTGCCTTAACTTCCTTGGAATGCCCTATTGGGCGTTTAGAGGGGCCTCCTTGGCTATCAACTGCATGGCAAGCAAGCCTGCTTGATCTTCCTGCCCTCCCATTAGCCCAGGAGGCAGGTTCATAGCTTCCTTATGCCTGCTGCTGCTGTCCCTGTATCCAGTGGCCATCGCCCACTTGTAGGCCCATTCCTTAGCTCACATTTCCCTGAGAGTGCACGTTCTTTCCCAGATCACCTTAAACCTCCTGTTTGGGGGAGCCAGGTAGAAAATAGAGTGTCAGCTGGGTGCTGGTAGCTCACACCTGTCATCCCGGTTCTTGGGAGGTTGAGATCTGAGGATCAGGGTTTGAAGCTACCCCCAGGTGGGAAAGTCTATGAGATTCTTACCTATTCTTACCTCCAGTAAACTACTAAAAGAAAGTTGAAAGTGGAGCTGCAGCTCAAGGGGTAGAGCTCCCAACCTTGAGCAAAAAAAAAAAAAAAAAAGAAAAGAAAAGAAAAGCTAAGAGACAGTGCCCAGGCCCTGAGTTCAATCCTCAAGACTCATAACACACACACACACACACACACACACACACACACACACACACACACACACACACAGTAGAGTCTCAGCTACCTTGCTGTGTAGTTTCAAAACCGACCACATCTCTATTCTTGGGCCTAAATACCATCAGACTCCAGGCCTTAGAATTTCAGGTTAGAAGAAAACTGTCAGCCCTGAGAGCACTCGGGGCTGGGTGGGGGTCCAATAGGAGAGGTGACAGTGCTTTGCAGAGTCTGAGGCAGAAGGACCACTTGTATGCCATCACATGCTTTTTCCCCTCAGCACTTCCTGCTGCCTCTAGCTTGCTGCCTCTGTTCCCTTCCACCACACACATACCACTGATAACTCACGAGTCTCTGGGTTCTGGCAGCTGGGCCAGTGTGGAATCACTTCCACTTCCAGATTGGTGTGTTGTGGATACTGGAGGCCTAGGCTTGCCTTTTGAAGCTGGGTTTCTGCAGGGACTTTGCTGCTTCTCAACAGGGCTTTAATAATAAACCTGCAGATTCTTTTTCTCGAGTCAGGCTGGACTTGAACTTGATCCTTCTACTCCAGCCTCACAAATGCTGGAATGACAGGCCTATACCACCATGCCCAGCTTTTATATCAATTCTGAGAGCTTGAACTCAGCTTTTTTTTTAC